GCTGCTGTATTTGGCCTAGATTAGTCATGCATGCATCTAATTGTTGTTAGGCTACCTTATAGAAAGGATATAAAGAGCATTTCCTGTACAAAAGGCAGCAGTGACTTAAGCAATTACATACTGAATGAATGAACTTCATAATATATGCTTTGTTCAAGAGACATGTCTGTGGAATGCCTTCAAGCTCAGAGCTGTTCTTTCTCATTAAATGAAGCTGACAATGGCTTCATTCACTTTTTTATCTAGCGCACACTCATTGAACTATTCCAATTAATGTGTTATACTTGGCAGTGTATAACATTTCTTTACTCTGTTACATTTTTCTCCACTGGATAGCAGCAATTGAATGGAAACAATAATGTGCACTGCAAAAAAAAAAAGGTTTTCTTACTCAGCATTTTTGTCTTGTTTTCCAGTTTTAATATCTAAACATTCTTAAATCAAACTACATTTACTTTATAAAATGACTTAAGACTTAAGAAGTATGTCAAAATTAGGTGAGATAATGCTAAAAACAATAAAAAATATTAAGAAAAATAAACTTAATTTATATGGAAAAATATAATTTTTTACCCCACTGATTTACCCCACTTTTTTTCTTGTATTAAGCATAAATTGACTTACAGTGGGTACGGAAAGTATTCAGACCCCCTTCAATTTTTCACTCTTTGTTATATTGCAGCCATTTGCTAAAATCATTTAAGTTAATTTTTTTTCCTCATTAATGTACACACTTTCCTTATCATTTTAATGTTGTAATCTCTGCATCTACAGGACGGTGTGTATCAGTCGTTACAGAGTGTAGTGGACTGGTTCAGAGGGGTGGTTGGAGTTCCTATGGAAACGAAATATAACAGTGTTCTTTTTGGAGGTAACTTCATTACTCTGACTGATGTTGGGGGTTTCTTCAAATGCAGCACATAATTCAAATTGCCCTTTTGTATTGAAGACAGGTACATTGATTATCTTCGTCTCTGGTGTCTTAGGTCTGATAGGCTCTCTCTACTCTCTGCTACAATTTCTGTCATCACCCATTACTGGGGCTCTTTCAGATGATTATGGAAGAAAACCACTGCTGCTGTTAACAACCGTAAGTATAGACCATACTGACAAAATTAGATCATTATAGGGCAGGGATTCCCAAACGGTTTTGTCAGTCAAACCCCTTTGACATAAAATATTTACTTAGTAAATACCCTCTGAAATTTTAAGTTAATATTTCAGTAATTTAGCAAAATATTCATATGTTCACAGTTCTCATGTTGGTAAATGATCACATGGCGTGCAGGTAAACAAAAAATAATTATTTATTTATTTTTATTATTTTATTAATTATTAGCTTTTCTAGGGGTTTGTGAATCCTGTTTTGGGAAACCCTGATATAAGGCATTTATTAATATAAAATTAAATGATAACATTACCTTTAATGTGTGTCAATCTCTTTTCTTATGGAAACCTGTTTCCCGCCATGGAATAAAAAAAAAAAAGGTAATTGTGACTTTTTTCTTGCAAAATTGTGAGAAACAAAGTCGAATTTGTAGATTAAAAAGTTGCAATTCACTTTTTTTATTTATTTTTTTTATTCCATGGCAGAAACGGGCTTTTATATTTTCTAGACCTAGTAGATCTGAGTAACACTTTCCTTGTTTTCCAGGTAGGTCTCATGGCATCCTACATTCTGTGGGCTTTCTCTCACAGTTTTACCATTTTTCTGCTGTCTCGAGTGGTTGGAGGAATTTGTAAGGGTAATGTCAGCCTGTGCACTGCTATTGTGGCGGACCTGCCTTGCCCTAAAGCAAGAAACAAGGGAATGGTGAGTTATGGTCATCATTATCTGAAATGAATGTTTTCAGGGCAAACGTTACATTTTAAGCTTTTATCTCTGGAGTCTTTTGAAGATTTACTGGGTTTGTTTTCTTCTGTTGTCAGGCAATGATTGGTGTTGCTTTCTCCTTGGGGTTCACACTGGGTCCATTAATGGGAGCATACTTTGCTCTGAGACTCAAAGATGCTGAGGTGTTTTATCAAGGCCCTGCCTTGCTGGCTGTCCTTTTTTCTTTAGCAGACCTGCTTTTTATTTTCTTCATGCTGCCAGAGACTTTACAAAAGGTCAGCACGGTGACAATATACAACAACTAGAAGCTAACTTTTAATAATCAGTTTATTTAGTGACTAAAATAATGCTCTTCAGTTATGTTGTAATAATGTAATGTAAGTATGTAATTGTCAGTGAACACATTATGCTTGAATATTTTAGTGACATTTAAATCTAGCATGAAATGAATGAATGTCAGGATATAGAAAAAAAGATTTGTTGCTACTTTCGATACATTGTGACTTTTATTGTAATCACCTCTTGAATGGACTTCAGCTTAGTTTTAATTGTTAATAGAATTGTCTTTAATTAGAAATGTAATGAATGTTTTTCACGACTCAGGGTGCATCAGAGTCTTCAGGTATTCAACACTCTGGAGATCTTCTTTTCCCTGTTGCACTTTTCAAGTTCACTGCCCTCACAAGAACACAGAATCCACCATCTGAGCAAAGTGAGTCCATAAGCTTTCAGCCAACTTAAAAGTCTTAAATTTGACCAGGATGAATAACTCACAGCAATTGATTGTGATGATTATTTTACTTTTTTTCCACAATAGAAATGCTACATTTGAAGGCGCTTGGATTGGTTTACTTCACATATCTGTTTCTCTTCTCTGGGTTAGAATTCACCTTGAGTTTTCTGACACATCAGCGCTTCCAATTTTCCAGGTAAGGCCTGAATCTACAGCTAACGCAACAATTCTTAACATCGCAACTTCCAAGAGCCTCTAAAAAACAGCTACAAAAGGCTGTGGTTACTGCTTCTACAAATCAGTTGCCTACACAACAGCATTCAAATTGTAACATTATAAAGCACACTATTGTCTTCAACTGATAAACTGTCCGTAGCAAATCTAGCTAATCGATTTTGAGTTCAGGGCCCAACTTAAGCCATGAGATGTGACTCATGAAGTTGTGACATCTTTTGAGTTTATTTGGATGTAGGCATAAGGAACAAGGAAGTTTTGGCTAATTTATTATATATCATAAACAACCAGAACGAGGGAAAGAGGACAAAGGTTGACGTAAAGTGTATCTGCCCCTAGGATAATATATGATTTCAATTTACCAATTCACTCTTGCACAGATGTGTTTTGCTTAATCAGAACCGTGAGATACTGGTATCATTGTGTCTGACATTGTGTGTGTGTGTATCATAGAGCAGCTGAATCCTGTGGTCTTGCCTGAGGTTTTTAAAATGAACTCTTCTGTCATAGCATGCAGCAGGGGAAGATGTTCTTTTTCATCGGCATTACCATGGCAGTGATCCAGGGTGGATATGCCCGCAGGATCAAACCAGGTCATCAGATCCAGACTGTTAGCGTGGTAAACTCTTTCATGCATTACTGGATCACGAGTCAATCAAAATTTCTTGCAATTTTCTTGGAACTCTGAATATTATTTAATGATTAACTACTGAAAGGCCTGCACATTGTGACTACATACTTGCTTTCATATATGTGTATTTCAGGCAATTATATCACTTATACCAGCATTCTTGCTCATTGGAATAGCATGGAATTTGACACTGCTTTATTCTGGCTTATTTTTGTACTCTTTTGGTAAGCAAGTATGCATCTGTCAGTATACAAACACATTATTATTATTATTAGTATCATCTAAATATTTACTTTTTTTTTTTGTGTTAGTATTTGAATTTGTCATTTTTTTTTCAGCTGCTGCTATTGTTGTTCCATGCCTTTCAACACAAGTGTCTGGACACGGTGGGATTTAAAAATTTTTTTTCCTGTGTCTAGTTTTGTCTGAGCTTTATTTTCTTAAGTTAACCATTCTGTAGATTTTTTAAAAAACATTATTTAAAAGGATAGTTCACCAAAAAAATGAAAATTGACTTGCTTTCTTCTATGGTACACAAAAGAGGATATTTTTTAAGAATTGTGATGATTGTGATGTTTTGATTACTACTACTACTACTACTACTACTACTACTACAACAACAACAACAACAACAACAACAACAACAACTACTACTACTACTACTACTACTACTACTACTACTACTACTGTTGTTGTTGTTGTTGTTATTATATAATTTGTTTTCTTGTTTTGCATTGTAAATTATGCCAGAATTTTTATTGTTAAGTGAACTGTCCCTTTAATAATGATCGTAACAGCTCTCACACCTCTTTTAGTTTGAATGTGTGATGGTGTTATTGATGTCTGTGTTGGTTTGTTAGGCTCAGCCAGTCAGAAGGGGACAGTAATGGGAATCCTTCGGAGTCTTGGAGCTTTAGCTCGAGCACTGGGCCCTACTGTGGCTTCTTCAGGTAAAAAAAAAAAAAGAAGATTAAATTATATGTAATCTTATAAAGATTAAACAATTATTTGTATTTATGTTAACAACCCTAACAGTAACTTACAATTGCAAGGAAATCATTTAAATCAGTCTGTACTTTTATTTATTGCAGTTTACAGCAAATATTAACATTATTTAACTTTTTTTTTCTCCAGTGTACTGGTTGGCTGGAGCAGAATTATGTTTTATAATCAGCTCAACGTTCTTTATAGTCCCTCTGATTTTACTGAGCCGGCTGAGGAGACAGAAGGAGGAATGAGATTGAGAGTTTTAGGATTCACTCTTGTGTCATAAGAGGGTCAGACCTCTTTTTCCTTATTGAGAGCATTAAAGTCCACTCAAGAAAGTTCCTCTTAAAGTGTTTACAGTGAAAAAAAATAAAAAGTACTTGTGCTTATGGAAATTTGTTTACTTAAATGTTTAAAAAAAAGAGATGGTAAATAGTAAGACATGTCACAAATGTATTTTTTACAACACTTAATTAACACAGAGGTCAACAGATATGCATATGTTTATGCCTCTGTGTCAGTGATACCGTTTTATGAGAATTACATTATATGTTTGGCTAATGTAGATATATATGCACTGGTATATATATATTTTTATGTGTGTTTATATATCAAAATATGTGGATACTAATTGTATCTTTTCAATCAGATTTCTAAAAAAAGATTAAATAATGATGATTAATGTCTACTGGAATTTTTTATTTATCTTTCTTTTTATATTAACTTGCATGATGTTTTTTTTTATTATTTATTAATGCAAATTCAACATACAAGTAGGAATAAAAACACAAAAATTCCTACATTCAGCTGTCAAGCCAAAGTACAATGGGAAGCAATTATATTAGTATTTAATAAGAGAAAAAAAGTACGATTATTAGGAAGTTCCAATATATTTATTTATTGCAGATGTTTTGATCATTTTCTTTTTAACAGACGATGAAATTGTATCTAAATACAAATTAAATTCTTGCTTAAATACATTAAACTATTGTTTACATTTCACGTATTTACATTTATGAATTTAAAACTTACCAATACACAAAAGTAAGTTTATGCATAAAGTTGCTTTGTCCATATTTTTGTTATTAATAAAAAGCAAAAAACTAAAAGAATACGTCTATAAGATAAAGAAAAGTCCCCTAAAACATTATTTTTAGACCACATATTTTTCCTAGGTTTATTTTAAATGCTGAGAAAAATAAATCCATAAAATATAATAAAAAATGAACAAAAATATTTTGTTACGCAGGTCGTCAACCGTATTACGTACATTTTGTGTTGAGTAATGTCTTACTATCAGACCATCTTCAAAATAAAAGTCCCCGCACCGACTGGTCTTGTTGACAACTTTGAGCTCAATCTTTAATTATTCGACCTACCAGTTTTACATCTGAACCGAACAGAATACGTCTTTTTAAAGTGGAGTTTGTTAACGGCCGGAAGGTATGAAATATTTTACTATCTGTAAAATATATAGTTTTTATATAGTTCATCATCTTGACTGTGCTTACACTAGCTAACATACACGAGCTATCTAGAAATCCCATATGGTCTGAAACAGAAGAGCTGCTGGAAGCTGTCGACAGCTAAACATGCGACACACTGGCCCTCTATCATGTTATTTCACATATAAGCTTGAATCTCAAGTGTCTTAAGTTTGAATCAAAGAAGTTTGCTTGATGTTGTAGTAGCTGGCTGCTGCTAACCTATCCAATCCAATATTATCTCCTTACGACAGCAGTCCTGCAAAAACCTTATATACATTTACTTATGATCTCTTAAAATAATAAACGTCGGTGTGTAGACAATATTAAACTGTAATATGAAAGTGACTTTGGTTGAATGGATTATGACATAAGACTGTTTACTGAGCGGTGTTTAGTCTTTAGTTTGGTTGCTGCGTCATTATTTGTCATTTACATGGATTCGGCATCGTTTGTTTAAACGCAGATTTGTGCAATCCATACAGTGATTTTTTTTCAAAGTGGTTATTTTATTTATTCAACTTCGTTTCAGCTCATGCATGTTGTCTTATAACCGGTCTGATCTTTGAACCTGTCTCTGTGCTCACAGATAATGAAGGATGGAGTTTTGGATCCTCTGAATTTGTTTGATTCATAGCCTTCCACGGCAAGACAAAATGGAGGACCACTTAAAAAGGTAAAAATAACTGACTGCGTGGAATCTGATTTTATTTACCAGTCAGAGCAAGCCAGCATTGAGAAATTATTCATTAATTGATGTAATGTTAGATTTGTGTTCAAGTTCAGTGGCCCCAAAAAGTGTTGGGATACTTAAAATGTATTAATATCTTTGCATTATATATCAAACCATGTGCTTTCTGCAGATGTGATAGAATTACCTTTTTTTTCAGACCTAACTTCACTTTCCCGGGGAGACCCATACATGATAAGCAGGGGGGAAGAAACAAGATATAGTGGCCACAACTTATTCATTTGTTCCCTTGTTTTGGCAAAATCATTGACATGATTTAAATAAACTAATAAGGGGGAATAATTAGTACAACATGGCCATGCATTAAGTTGTGGGAACAAATTCATAATTTGTGACCATGATATGTCTCCATATTTTCCTGAGCCATTTTTGAAATAACTTTAAACCAACTCATGTTCACACAGATGTCCAATCAAAGTAATCACAGGTGTAGTTCATCAAATCCGAGGGATAGTTCACACCAAAAAGAAAATTGTACTTGTAATTTACTCGCCTATATGTTGTTCCCAAAACCCATAGGATTTTAGTTAATCATTGAGAAACAAATTTTGAATGAAACCTGAGAGGTTTCTGTGCCTCTATTGAAAGTCTGGGTAACCAAAGCTTAGATCGAAAAAGGCCATAAAGGCATCGTAAAATGAATCTAAATGAGTTGAGAGGTTTAATCCAAGTTCCGTATGCACTTCCATGTTTACCAAAGGTGGTGTGCTTCATGTATGTTGATCATTGTTTAGATATAAATAAAAAAGCCCAAATTAAACCTGTTCATCATGTAAAGCGATCATATCTCTTCACAAGACTTGGATTAAATCATCAGGACTCGTTTTACAATGCCTTTGTGACCTCTGGATCTTTTAAGTTTTGGTTCTTTTACTGTAAGTCAATGGAGGGACAGAAACCTCTCAGGTTTCCTTCAAAATATCTTAACTTGTGTTTCTAATATTTACCAAAGTCATATCAGTTTGGAACGACATGAGGGTGAGTAAATGATGACAGAATTTTCACTTTTGGGTGAACTAATTGACTATGAATATTTTCCGCTAACATTTGATGGCAAGAAAGTGTAACAATACTTGTATTCATTTTGAACAGTATATCAGTTGCTTTTAATTGTCCAACTGCTTTTTCGGGCCGCTGTACATCACATTGCATTGGAGAACTAACGAAATCTGTGCTAGTTTTGACTCGTCGTATGATTTTCAGTTTTTAACTTTAGACTTTATTGTACACAGAGCTCCATATAAAAACAAGACATGCCAGTCGTCACCCGAGGACTGGTTCAAGAGGAGGCAGAGATCAGTAGACAATCAGTATGACGTGGCACAAAGGACAAACATCTACAACAGCAGCTCTCACACCAACAAGTGCGCTGATCTCAAAACCCGCAGTGGTCTAAATGATGATTCAAACAAGCAAACTGGAAAGGTCTGATCCTAGTATGGCCATTTGGATGATTTCAATCTTTATTGCTGTTGCACTTTTGAAAGCCTAATAAAGTTTTTCAATCTTTTAGTTATTAAAAGACAACAGAGCTGAGCCTTCCTCTCTGGACAAAAGAATCAGCAGGAGATCAAAAGACAGAGGTGTTTATTCCTTTTAAGAAGACTTCTAATAATAATGTCCTGATTAAATTGTAATTGGAAGATTTGGTTCTGCTTCTAGGTGACAGAGGGACCAAACCTTCCCCAAGCCCTGCAGAGAGAGCCAAATCAGCCATTACATGTAGCAGCACATTTGAAATGAAACTTGCCGATTTCCCTGAATTGGGTGATATCACACCCAGCAACCCTACAGCAGCTTCCCTGCACCAGGAACCATGGGTATGCGCTGGTGCAGTCATGCCAGCAGAGTGTCAGAGTTCACCAGCACCCCTTTGTAAGGTAACTTTCATGCCTGGTGATTTGGGCCAAAGAACGCATTGTTCTGTTAAAGCACAAGCTGTTTACTCAATGAATCTTGGCAACGTTTGGTTTTTATTCTTATTAGAATGTACCAAAACGAAGAACCAAGTCGGCACAGCTAGTCCCGTCCAGTGGAAAGCGTGACATGTCATCAGCTATCACAGCAGGTGAAGATGTGTAAACATGCTTCAGAAATCAAAATAGACCCTATTTATTTTCTTAATACATATCTTTCTTTGTCTTATGGTGCGTTCAAGTCCTCGTATTTGCAAGTTAGGAAGTTGTAATTACGATGTCAGGTGCTTTAGTCACTTTTTTCAGAGCAAGATGTTGATGCATCTTTTCTTTAAAGGGGTCATATGATGCTGCTAAAAAGAACATTATTTTGTGTATTTGGTGTAATGAAATGTGTTTATGCGGTTTAAAGTTAAAAAAACACATTATTTTCCACATACTGTACATTACTGTTTCTCCTCTATGCCCCGCCTTTTTGAAAAGCCCTGGCTTAGCGTGCGCTGAGGCCGGGCTAGAGTGAGCTGAGGAGGCGGGGTCGAGAACGGCACGCCCGGCGGATCCGACGAATGACCAACCACATGTGACGGACCCCGGGCTGGATTCCGCTTCGTCCACGGTGAAAGTTGATGTATTCCCTCAGCG